CTTGGTTGTGGCATTTTGCCTTGATCTCTAGAGATTAGCTGTTGAGAACCCAAGCCAGTGACAAATCAAATCAGAACTCGGCGACTTGGGGAAATCGGTGACTCTATTGGATCGAACAAGCAGTCTTTAGTTCCACCGCTACCGTGACGCGTCTTTGTTTCACTGCAATCGCAACTGCGACACAGTTTCACTGCAAGGGCGACGCAAGACGCTCATTGTTTTTGTATGCATAGAAGGCCGAGGTCACCTCCATTTCCACCGAGCCGAAGGGATAGGAGCAGGTCTCGAAGTCTGGTGAGGTTGCATACGAAGATCAGCGGGTCCTTGAAGCTCAGGCGCAATACAAATCAGCGTCGTGGGGGTCGGGGAGCAGCACAGAGGAGGACTCGTGCGATCCGTCATCTTCTTGTGGCGCTGATTGAGATTGCGAGGAGGCTTTTGGAGATCACAGGTGTTGCTGATCTGGGTATAGGCGACAGCTTGAGATTCGACATAGACAGGCGCAGGATCGTTTGGATTGGCTTAATTCGCCAAGTGACAATTTTCTTGAGGACAAGTTTACTGTCTTGCCAAGCCTTCAAGGTCACATTCCAGAGCATCATCAGTGGGAAACGATCTCAGTTGATTCAAGCAGTGTGAACGATCCCTTGGAATTACCGGAAAACCTTCAGAGTCAGAAGAGGAAGAAGAGATCGAGCCTCGTTTTACAGATCCTCGATCATTTGCATCAGCGAAGGTAATTGCAAGGCCAAAAGCTTCTATCAACACCCAAAGGGTCTCCAGTTCATCCAGTTGTTCCACAGGCAAAAGCTAGAGCGTCTGAAACTCGTTTGGTGGCAGCAAAGGCGAAAGAAGTGCCTAAAGGTGCATCTCGATCGGAAGCTCCATTCATCGATTTTTCAAGTTCCTCAAGTTCGGCAGTTCCTGCCAACATTTCGTTTGCCGAGCCATTGGGTGACTTGCCGTTTGGTGCAGAGCTTCACGGTGTCACTCGAAGGTTCAGTTTTGCACCTGTGATGAGTATCGACTATCACAACGTGCTTGACAGGGTGAACGTGAGCAGGAGGCGATTATTGAAATTATCAGCAACAGGACAGTTGCACAATCAGGTGACAGCTGCTGTTGGGGCAGTGCTTGGAAATCCATTTCAAGTGCTTGTGTTGAGTTATTGTCACCACGAGGCAACCCGACAGAACGTGCGTCGGGCTTGCATTGGCAACTCATCCTTCAACCCCGTCTCCAACTGCGACAGGCCCACTTGTGAGCTTGGCAAACTGTCTGTTCTCAGACAGGTCATCTCCGAAGAGCTTCTTGATTCCAGGCCGTGCAGGGTGTATCATATCGACGACAGTTTGGGAAGTTCTCAAGGAGCTTCATGATCAATCCAACGTCGTTCCAGTTGGCATCAAGTTGTTCAAGCCTGGGTATTACGAGGTTCCGGGTGTGCATTACGAGATCAACTTGTTTGGTGGTCTCTGTCTGTCTCTGTCTGTCTCTGTCTGTCTACCTATATGCATACAAGTAGATATTTTGTGACATGCATGGTGATGATGTAACGAGCCGACACTGAGCCAACCCCAAATCTACAGACCTTCACCTGTCAGGTCCACCACACCCTAGGGAGCGCCTTGGAGACAGGATGCTGAAAAGTTCGCGACCGGGCACCCAACCTTTTGAGAAGTAAGAGCCGCTATGGCCTTGCCAGCTATCTGTGGTAAAATTGCGCCAGATGAAGCGATACATGGCATGTCTCTGTCTGTGCATATTGAAGCCGAATGTTGGAGTATATCGACGGTAAAGTGCCAGAAAAAGTGTTGGGAAGGACCGCAGATAAAACGACAAAAAGTGCCAGAATACCCAGTAGATACGTGTGAGATAGCATGCCAGAATCAAGAATATGTAAGAATTGATGCCAGCATAAATGGCTGAGAGAGTGTCAGAGTATACGGCAGATAAGTTGCTAGGAAATATAGTGTGTTCCAAGAAAAATGCCAGAACATATGTATATATTGCAGGTAAGGTAGCGGAATGCGTTTGCAGACAAAATGTGTCAGCTTACATTGGAGAGTATTTAGACTCCTGTTGGGGTTTACACAAGACGGTATGTCCGAACACACATTACGTTAAACATCAGATAATATCGCGTCAGGTCTACGGCAACACGTCAGAATATAGGTCATATATCAAACCCGAATATATGTCAGATAACGTGGGTGTCACCGTGTATCACAGATAACATCTCAAAATATATGCCAGTAGTGGATATGACCTTAAATATGCCACTGGATATGCCAGGATACATGTCAAAAGGAAACCCAATACATGTGTCATCATCATTGCCAGTACATGTGTCAAACCGTTTGTGGGTGTGGATGCCAAGAAGGAACGCAAGTAATGTGTTTTGGGCCGCTGGTGTTTGATCAATTTATTCGTGGGTCGATGTCTGACTGCCTGGTGAAATTTGACGCCATGTCTTGAGCAGCCTCAGGATACCACCCGGCAATTGTTGTGGGCTTTGATCCTGCTGGGTCTAGCGGCTTGGCCACGGAGATGGGAATCTACAGTGGTGCCAGCCTTGTATTTAACATACGCGCAATCCCAAGATTCAACGATTCTCTCGATGGGTGACTAACGGAAGGGTTGTCAGTGAGGTGTTTTTCCCACGATTGAAAATTCAAGAACCAATGGCATTCAATTACTGTTCTTTTCGGGCAAGGTAGGTCCTGTAGTGCTACCTTGAGTTTTACTTCGAGAGGTAAAAGCCCCCCGTTTCTTCTGGACTCTATCCCCTCCTCTGCTGCGCAAATCTTTTGCCATAAACGAACCTTTGACATGTTCATTGCCTTCGCTCCGCACGCAACGTGTTTTCTTGTGTTTGCGCATCTGCATTTGATTTGAGCTGCATCATGGAACCGAATTTGAATTTAATCGAATCAATTTTACATGTGTTTGTAAAAATGAAATGAACCCGACTTGATTTCCTTGAGTCGAATTTAGTTTGATTTGAAAATACATGTAATTTCCCTATAAATAACTGGAACCGAAATTGACCATTGGAATTTTCAACATTCTGCTTGAAGCTTATGTTGAAGTTGAAGTTGAATGAATGTTTTGAAACTTACTTGGGCGTGTCAATGCGGTTTATTCAGGTTCCCGTTTTGAGGCCACCCCTTCAATAAAAACGTAACTTCAGGACTTGGGCAATGTCCACATTGCGCGCTGTTTTTTTTTTATCTGTCCCGGGATGTGATTTACTTTGTTTTGTTGCACGTCTTTTTCCTCTCCTGGGCAGGAGCAGTAAAAAATTGTAAACTTTGGATATGATATGCCGTATTTGATCCAATCCTTTTTGCCTGGTTGGCGCATAAGATTTCTCAATGCCGTTCCCCCAATAATATTGAATTCGTTACATGGGCTTCCGGTTTGTTTCCAGCGGAAACGCATGGCTGCGTTGTTGCTGTTTCCTTCACCCTATGTCTTGGCTACCTTTCGTGTTCCTCAAGTTTACAGTTGTTTTCCAGTCAAGTTTCCTAAATATTCTTGCTTTGAGGACATGGTTGAGAATTGAGAAATGATATTTTCGAAACCATGCCATCATAACCCCGCAAATGGCTACCCATCGTGAAAGATTGGCTGGATTTCTGGTTCATAGATGCATGCATGTTGGCCCAGGATGGCCCAGGGTGTTTCGACGCTTGATACAGGGCTCTCAGGGAGAGGGATTAAAAAAACAAATAGGGATCAAAAAAAAAACAAATTTGAAAACTAAAGGAGGAGAAGGAAGGAAGGAAGGAAGGAAGGAAGGAAGGAAGGAAGGAAGGAAGGAAGGAAGGACGGAAGGACGGACGGACGGACGGACGGAAGGCAGGCAGGCAGGCAGGCAGGCAGGAAGGAAGGAAGGAAGGAAGGAAGAAAGAAAGAAAGAAGTAAACTTCTCTTGAAAAATGAAAGGAACGCTTCCTTCTCTTGACCCCCCCACCCGCTTTTATTTTTTCGCCGGCTCCCCTTGCTACCTACTATTCTTTTTTTTCCCAAGCATCATCGTTGTTTATTTGGGTTCATTTAATCTTGATTGATATCCATCGCGACTTGTGCCTATGTACTTCTTTCTTGGTACGCATTGCGGGGGGAGGCGCTGCGCCCTCCCCCCTGCACCCCCACCCGCTTTTTTTTAAATCGGTTCCCCTTGCTACCTACTATTCTTTTTGTTTTTCATAAGCATCACCGGTTATTTGGGTTCATTTTATCTTGATTGATATCCATCGAGATTTGTGCCTATGTACTTCTTTCTTGGTACGCATTGCGGGGGGAGGCGCTGCGCCCTCCCCCCTGCACCCCCCCACCCGCTTTTATTTTTTAATCGACTTCCCTTGCTACCTACTCTCTTTCATTTTTTTGCATATGTATCATTTCTTTGGGTTCATCTTCTCTTTCTTAATCTTTATTTATATCCATCGAGACTTGAGCCTGTGTGCTTCTTTCTTGGTACGCATTGCAGGGGGAGGCGCTGCGCCCTCCCCCCTGCACCCCCCCACCCGCTTTTATTTTTTCATCAGCTTCCCTTGCTACCTACTCTATTTCTTTTTTTTCGCAAGCATCGTTTATTTGGGTTTATAATTTATATAATCAATATGTTGATTCTTGCTGCTGCTACTACTACTACTACGACTACTACTACTACTACTACTACTACTACTACTAGTAGTAGTAGTAGTAGTAGTACTACTGCTACTACTACTACCACTACTACTACTAGTACCATTACTACTCCTACTACTACTACTACTACCACCACCACCACTACTACTACTACTACTACCACCACCACTACCATTACTACTACCATTACTACTACCATTACTACTACTACTACTGCTGCTGCTACTACTACTACTACTACAACAACAACTACTACTACTACTACCACTACCACTACCACTACCACTACCACTACCATTACTACTACTGCTACTACTACTACTGCTACTACTACTACTGCTACTACTACTACTGCTACTGCTACTACTACTACTACTACTACTACCTACTAACTACTACCTACTAACTACTACCTACTAACTACTACCTACTAACTACTACCTACTAACTACTACCTACTAACTACTACCTACTAACTACTACCTACTAACTACTACCTACTAACTACTACCTACTAACTACTACTAAAACCTACTAAAACCTACTAAAACCTACTAAAACCTACTAAAACCTACTAAAACCTACTAAAACCTACTAACTACTACCTACTACCTACTACTAACTACTAACTACTAACTACTAACTACTAACTACTAACTACTAACTACTAACTACTTACTACTACCTACTACTACTACTACTACCACTACCACTACCACTACCACTACCACTACCACTACCACTACCACTACCACTACCACTACCACTACCACTTTTTTTGTTTTCTTTTTGATCCTTATTTGTTTTTTTTTTGATCCCTTATTTTTTGTTTTTTTTTGATCCTCTAGCCGGGCTCTCAGAACTGCATCTTTTGGAAGAAATCATCACTTCAAGATTTTTTCGTACCTGTGGAGATCAGGTTCAATATTCATTTGGCATTATGTTCACAGACGCGGTCCTCGACTACCAACTTGAACATGGTGAAGATCGCGTTCTGAAGCAGCTTGTCGCAGAACCGTGATTCCAACAGTTTTCCGTTGTTGATGGATGTCATTTTAGCTTGTCGGCCCTCAGTGTTGGAGCAGCAGAAGAAAACGGTACCGCATGTTTAATTTTGTGTTGGAAAAGAGCTGGCTCCGCGGAAGGTAGTCCAAGCATGCTACTCCGATCATCTGCCAGTGGAAGGGCTGTAGATGTCTGTCCGTGTCCCGAGGCAATACTTCGGGACAGTGTATGCATCCGTCAGCACGCTGTTCAGGCTATGATGGCGCTTGGAATATCTTAGTCTTAGTCTTATGACATGGGTTAAAGCTTCGGCATGCACATAATTGTTTGACTGTTTCACCAAAAGAACTTGGATAAGAAGCTGTCGGGTTGCGGAAAGCATGCGATGGGCAATCTGCTCTCACCACTTGCAAGTCGTTCTTTGTTATGCAGCCTGCAAGCTTTTTCTTTCAATGGATCAGGCTGACAGTGATCAAGCGCGCGCGAGATCGTAGCGAGAATTTGTTGCGACCCCGAAAGACACCGCACAGCAGTCTATAGCAATGGCGTTCAAGTACTGCCCGCGAGATGGTACTGAGGGCTCGATAGCCAAAAGCGACGTTATGGGGACCACAGTTTTCACATGGCGGCGTTCAGGGCTGTTTTCCTGAATCCAAATTCTGGAATCTAGTTGGTCTTGTTTAGGTTTCTCATGTCTACGTGCAACGGTCAAACGGTCAGGGGAGAAGGTCGATGGGGTTGGTCCCACATGTATGGTGTTACGGGTCCTTGCAAGCGGTCCTGCTATTTATTCAGTGATCGTAGCACCGCAAAAAAGTGGGGTGGACAGGAACGAAGCAGTCACAGCAGTTAGCAACCTTTCTTGAAAAGGCACTTCTTTTACTTCTCCTATAGGCCGTTGTTGTCAAGCTCCCGCGCCGGCACAGGCACTAGTACAACATTCTGGACCTTCAAAACTGATGGTTGAATCAGAAGAATAGAAAAAATAGTAGGTCCCGCGGCCCTTTGCTTCAACCATGCGAATACCAATTTGACACGCAAAGGTTGGTTTCAACTGCCAACTCACTGCAGGGCGATTTTGGGTGGCATTGATTGGGAGTTGGCCGCAGATGCATTGGAAGCAGCCGCTAAGCTGAGAATAGCGAGGGTAATATTTTTCTGAGAACAGGATTGAAGACCAAACAAGCTGAGCGCCTCCCCGGAAAATGTTCCTCCGATGAGGTGGGAATGGTCTGGGTGCAACTCTTCCATGCTTACATCGCTTTTTGCGGATTTGCGGTGCCCCGGCCTCTCGTTTAGCGCCGGCCGGGTGTTCTTCAACCTTCCACATGTAAGCACCTGTTGGCGCCTGTCTGAAGCACTGAAGCGGTGACTAAATCTCAGTCAAGGCAGTTCCAAGAATTTAGTCCTGGCTGTCGCAGCTGCGCAGTGATCAGGTTGAAAATGATACTTCAGTATCTATTGTCGCATGTGAAATTATCTGGGGTTGATGTTGGTAGCGTTGGCGCGTGACTTTAGAGCAGTAGGATTCACCCAAAAAAGAAGGTTGTCATCCCGTCGAAGTTGTGCCAAGCTCACCTTTAATGCAGGTGTTTTGTAAAACAGTGGGCTGGAATTTCCGTGGATGGGGCTTCGGACGTTGTCAGTTTTGTAGGAACATGGTTCTGTATGACCTAACTTCTTGCATTCTGTGTTCCAGTCAAGCCAACAGTTTCAGAAGAATTTGCAATCAGTTTCGATGCTGTATGAAATGCGATGCGGGCCTATTCATCCATTCTTTGATTTGGCTAACAGCTCACCTGATATATGCCCAGCGCCCGGAAGGACACCTCGTTAAGTGCGGGCAGGTTGCCAAAGCTTTCGTGCCGAGGTGTTGAACGTGATGACTGGGGTTTTTGTCAATTCAGCCATCAAGACACGTGAGCGGGACCATGAAACTTTGATCCAGAACAAGCAAAAGTTCACCGACCTCGTCCAGAAGTTGCTCGGCCACAGTCCAAAAGCTACAGCCGTCGCCAACGGTGATGCCTGATGAGGATAATGACTCTGTCAAGAAACCAACGCTTGCAACAATGACGACAATGACTGTGATGCTGATGTTGATGATGGTGATCATGTTGATCCCTGTCAGCTTGAAGAAGAAGAAGGAAGAAGAAGAAGCAGAAGAAGAAGAAGAAGAAGAAGAAGAGGAAGAGGAAGAGGAAGAAGAAGAAGACGAAGAAGAAGACGAAGAAGAAGAAGAAGAAGAAAGAAGAAGAAGAAGAAGAAAGAAGAAGAAGAAGAAGAAGAAAGAAGAAGAAGAAGAAGAGGAAGAGGAAGAGGAAGAAGAAGAAGACGAAGAAGAAGAAGAAGACGACGAAGAAGAAGAAGAAAAAGAAGAAGAAGAAGAAGAATGAGAAGAAGAAGAAGAAGAGTAAGAAAAGTAAGAAGAGTAAGAAGAGTAAGAAGAAGAAGAAGACGAAGAAGAAGAAGACGAAAAAGAAGAAGAAGAAGAAGAAGAAGAATGAGAAGAAGAAGAAGAAGAGTAAGAAGAGTAAGAAGAAGAAGAAGAAGAACAATAATAAGAAACAATAAACAGGAAAAGAAGAAGAAAGAAGACAGAATAAAGAAGAAGATGCTGATGACGATGACGATGATGATACGATGATGACGACGATGATGATGATGACGGATGATGATGACGATGATGACGATGATGAAGATGATGAAGATGGTGGTGGTGGTGGTGATGATGACGACGATGATGGCCATGATGACCATGGCGACGGTGATGGTCGAACTGAAGGTTATGGTGATGTGATGACAATGATGATGATAATGATGATGATGATGATGATGATTGCAGACAGTGACAATGAATGATGATACCTTCGGATATCTCATGCAAGATGTCGGGCAAAGCATGCAAAATTTGAAGTAAAGTAGGGAAGTCAAAGCAACAGCCCAAGCACATGGTGTGCAAAGCCCAAAGAAGGTGCGGTCAACCATTTGCCAGGCAGCAGTTTCTCCCTGTGGTTGATGTCAATGTCGACTTTCGGGTGAGAAAGAAAGGCCTTCAGCGTTTTTTGGGTCAATTTTGGGCTGCTGCTGCTGCTCTGCCGCTGCCGCCGCCGCCGCAGCTGCTGCTGCTGCTGCTGTTTCTGCCTGTGATGATGATGATATATGATTGAAGAGAGGAGGCAGGTGACAATGACAATCCCAATGGCGATGATAATGATAATCATGGTGACGCTGAGCAAAATCATGGAGGACGACCTGGACGATGACTTTGTGGATGGTGATGGCATTTGGAAAACGCACAATGATGATCTTGGTGATGTTTGCGAATGCTGATCATGGCAGTGGTGGTAGTTATGATGATGTCGGTGACGATGATGATGGCATTGATGATGATGATGGTGATGATGATGATGTTGATGATGAGGATGATGATGCTGATGACGATGATGACGACGATGATGATGATGACAATGACGATGACGTTGATGATGGCAATGATAATGATGATGAGGATGATGATGGTGATGATGATGATGATGGCAATGATGATGATGATGGTGATGATGATGATGGTGATGATGATGATGATGTTGATCATGCTCATCATCACGATCATGATCATGGTCACGATGACGACGATGAGGATGAGGATGAGGATGATGGTCATGCTGATTTCCAATGTGATGATGAACGTAATGTTGATGATGTTGAGGATGGCGATGGCGAGGGTGATGCTCTGCTTCTTGGGCATCCCTCCAGGGGCAGTCGGTTAGTGCTCCTATGGTGTTCTGTAGCCTTTCGGTGTCACCTTAAGGAACATGTCACATGTTGGCTCATCACATATGGCTTTGCGTGACCCTACTCCTCGCTGTTGGAAATTTAACGTGGTAAAAACACGGCGTTGACGCAAAACTGGCGAGAAATTCAGATGTGCCAACGACCAAAGATCAGCAAGACTTCTTGTTGTGCAGTTTGGAGACTGGACGCACAGACACACGTGAATGTGAGTCAAATTGTGAGCACAATGAATAAAGCACCCCAATCCCCGTAATGAAAAATAACCCCCGTTTAGTCGCATGAGTAATGGCCAGTCCCAAGCCAGGATCCTACGGAGGTGTTGCGCTGAAAAAAGTTTTCTTGGCGTGAACCATCCTCTTTCTTGTGCCTCTCATGTCAGCCCACATCCCCAAAAAAGTGCTGTCCTGGATGTTGGTCAGCTTGGGCCGCCCAGGATATGGAAGAAGATGGACACAACCGGTTTGGGGGAGATTCTTGGACACTATTTGAACGATCCAAATGGATTTCTCAGTTGGAACCTTCCCACAGGATGGTCCAG